ATTCACCTGTCTTGTGCAGCCAAATAATTTTACCAGACACTGTCTGCAATCACAGAAGTGTGTTCTTGAAACTGTCCTTTAGGCCCTTCCTGCCTGCTGTGAGCTTTCCTCTGGTGTTACTGCTGCCAAAACACAGCCTTCAGAGGTGGTATGAACGGAGCCATAGTCTTAGTTCCTGTGGTTTCTTATGTGCTGGCTGCATTGATTTTTACTTTCAAAAGCACCTGATAGTTTAGAACAATCTATATGTTTGCCTGACTTAAGTTGTCTAGAGTCCCATTTCTTCCTCCCTGTCCTAGCCTCCAAATGTTGTCCACGGCAGCTGTGACCATGAGATGCCTAGGTGGTCTGAGTTGAAAGTATGGCTGAAACGGAGGTAGATCAGGGGTGATTCATGGGGGCTTTAAAGGGGAGAGGGAGAAGCAAAGACACCTGACAAACAGCATGATTTTTCCCTCCCCAGATACCAGTTTCAAAGTGGTAGAAGTACCCTTCACTGGTGGTGATGGTTTCTTGGAAAAGCTGATGAATGTGCTCATAGTGATAATACTGGTAAAAGCATTGAATACCTAAGGGTTGTTGTAGTAGTAGTGTTGACAATAAAGAGAAACCCTCATAAGAGAAGGGAGAAACCTTGGCTGTAGTTTCTTTTGTGTACTTGCAAGCATTACAGTTGCTGCAAGTTTTTGTGTTTTGTTTTTCCTCTTTCCAGTTTCATTAAAATGTTCATACATGCTTTAATGCTCAGCTGACTTCACTGGGACTGAAAGCATGAAGCTCATCACAGACTAGAAATACAGCCAGGATATCCATGTGCAGAAACATTTCTGGAGTATGCCAGTGGAGGCTGAGGGAATCGGGAGTCAGCTGAAGGTTCCCACTTAATTCATCAAACCCTTATTAGAGTTAAGGTGGTGTTGTAATTAATCTTCCAAAAGGGAAGAGCTCAGCCCCTTTCATGTGAGAGTTAATGCCCTTCAGTCATCAGCCAGAGAACAAAGACCAGATGGGTGAAGTTTAGGTAGCTATTGGTGTCTGATTAAATGTTCAGCTACTTTCTGCATTAAAACGTTATATCTCACACTTCTTATTTTCAGATCTTAGTTGCATGATGCTTAGACATCCTCCGTGTGGACCTGGGCTATATTAACAAGCATGGCAACACAAAAGAAGTTGGCTTTTTTTGTCCTCAGACTTACCAGCGGCTAGCATTTTACCCAGGGGACTTTCTGTCTAGAGTTGTTTCTCTCTTCTCTGTTTCTTCTACTATCTCTTTCTGAGCCAGGTATGCTAATAAAACACCTATCTTAGCAAGCCCTTTCCTAGCAGAAAACAACAACCAAGCAAATATTCTCGCTTTGTTATCCTCAAACTAGGGAGGCCATGAGGAATCTTGGCCGGGTGTCCAAGCAGAGTGAAATCACTTGAAGCTCTTTGAAGCCACAGACTCTTCTCAGCAGAGAAGAAAAGACTTTGCCACTAAAAGTGCAAACTCAGACAGTTGATACTCCTCCTCCATCTGATGCCGTCCATGCATCTCGTAGTACACGTACAGCTGAAGGATTCTGCCATGTCCTGTAGTGAAAGCCTGTCTTGCAAGTAGCTGGAAGCTATGTGCTCTGATAAACTTACTGGGAGCAGAAAATCTGATTAATCATTCATTGTCCTGTTCATCCTTATCAGCTCAGTAGAACTGAGTGTTTTGTGCTTCCGGCAGTCTCAGGCACTGAAGATCTTGTAATACAGCTTTTCAGTGCTGTGGGGAGTAAGTATAAGCCCTGCTTTATAAACCGGGAGGCTAGGTGTTGAAGGTGAGGTTTTCCAGATTTTTTTGTTCTGGCCCGGCACTGCTGCCGTTTCTGAGTCCTTAGAGTCCGGGATTGAGCTAAGTACCCTGATTGTCAGAGCTGGGTTACAGAGACAGCTAAGGGGAGCTACTGCATGGTATAGCACCTTTTTCAGCTTTTGCTGAAATGTCCTTGGGAAACACAGACAAGCAGGAAAACACTGGAGCAGCTGTGGGAACTAGGCCTGTCTTGCTTCAGAGAAGTGCTGTCTTGAATGCATTTTGCCTGGACCTCGTTCTTTGATCCAATGTGTATTTTATAAAAAGATCTAACAAGTAAGAGCAAAGGAAGTCCATCCTTGATACAGCTGTTTACGTCAGAAGGGTGAATGAAAATTTGTGAGGTAAAATGAACGGACAAGAAGGGTGAAAATAAAAGCTCCATCAGATGCTGAGAACTGAAAAATAAGTTCAAAGCTTTGGTGCTGTCTTGAGACAGCTGATGGCTTCAGAAATAAAAGACTGAGTCTGTGTACTTTCTGGAACTTGGGCCTTTTGTTTTTTGAAAGTTTCATAACGTGTTGAAACACTGCATTATATAGCTTCTTCAGCACTTCCCTGTTGTTTTCATAGTTTTGTTCTGCCCATCTTTCTGTGTAATATGCTTATTAAACCAACTCCATTGGACTGGACTTAATTCTGCCGTTACTGAGCATACAGTACTAAGACTAAACTTCATCCTTTGCACCCTTCATCATCTTAGTGTAGTGATGCTCCCTTTTCTAAGGGATGAGTAATGATGTGATGATGCTTTGGGAATTAACACAAATGTATCGAGTGCTGAGATGCCTCATGTTTTGAAATGAGGAAGGAGTGGGAGGTCAACTAAGAAGTATTTGCCAGATGGTTTTGATAGACCACCCATGTTAGCAGTGAGGTAGTACGTTCAGGGGCTCAGTGCAACAGCCTGACAGTGGTCTGGGACCCTTTTTGGACTTCCTGGGCAGTGTTTGTGCCCCAAGGGAAGGCTGGCTTGTTCCATCCCTGGAAAGAGAGATATGTGCAGATGCGTAAAGAGTTTACATTTCTTCATGACTTTGCAGGCAAGTTGCAAGAGACAGAGCCTTAGGAGTGTCCTATTCTCTGCACACTGCCCAAAGATATGCTGAGATAGGCCATAGGCTTACATTTCTGAGGGCAGAGCTCTTCAGCTCCAAGACAGGGATGCTTTTTCTATCTGTGATTATGTAGCAAGTCCACCTGAGGCTGTGCTGTGTCTTTTGGGTGAGCAGTGCAGTCACTGAAGGCTTTCAGTGACATAGAGCAGCCTTGCAAAACAAGTCGGTTTTTATTAGTCCCCTGGGATGGCGCACAGAGCAAGGTCAGGTTTGTGTTGCCAAATTAGACTTAAAATGGAGTTCATGGGGACCGAAGCAGCAGCTCTGGGTTTCTGTACCTCCTGGACGTCCTTTCCACATGCCTGTGTGCAAAGCCCTAGCTATGTGGTTCTTACCCCAGTCTCCTGATACCTCATGACACTTTTTCTCCAGCTGCAGTACTGCTGTCTTCAGCATCCTGCCATTTCGAGCTCCTGATGCTGATATTCAGTCACTGGAGTCTTCTGTCATCTCCACAGAGTGCTCTGATTCCTCAGGGGCAGCTCATAATAGTTCTGCAGGAAACTAGACGCACATATTTATGCTAAATACTGCTTTTTCAGGGAAGAAATTAACTCCTTTATGCCTGCAGGTAGCAACACACGCTTTTTGTTTTTGATACCCTAACCTCCCATATCGTCCATGTTTGTCTTCCTGTCCAATGTGTTGTCTCCTAGAGTGTTTGGCAGTGTGCAGAGAACAGCTTTGGAAGAGGGGAAGGTTGGTGGATTTGTGACTAGTGTAAGAGCTCAGGCACTCTGGATAACAGATGGGCTCAGTGTGTTCTGGCACGCAAATTTACAGCTACGCAGGGGGCATGCTGCGGATCCCAGCTAGGAAGGTGACAAAGTGAACTGCTCATGAATCAGAAGGGTTTCCTCTAGAGATGCTTCATCCTCTCCAGCAGGAGCTTTAGTTGGGGACCGTCAGGTCCCAGGATAGAAATGTGTTCAGCTGAGCTTAGGTGATGCATCAGGTGCATTGCAGGGGATGTGATTTTTTTTTGTCGCTCTGACCATTGAGAAGAAGAGAGCAGAGCCGTGTTTGCTCTTGAGATGTCTAGTCTGTTGTTTGTCTCTGACCTTGACCAGCTTGTGCAGCTGCTGGTTATTTAGAGTCCACGTATAAAAATAGGCTCCCTTAATTATATATGCAAATGAGCATAAAGCAGACTACCAAGCAATATTACACTTATGGGCCTAAGCATAGAAACTGCATGCGTAAGTTGGGTGATTGCCCTTGAAAACTGGCTGTGCCCTTGCATAGGGTTAGTAGTGGGACAGGGTGAAATTAAGTCTGCTGGAAAAAGGTGTAGGGCAATAGGCATAGAGGGCAGGGTAAAAGGAGGGCTGGAGGGCGGGAAGGGCCCATCCCCAACACCTCTGAGATTTCTCTGTGCTTGTTGCATGTAAACTGCCCCTCCACTGCCATTAATTATTTTGAGCGAAAGGAAACACGTGGACAGATAAAATTTCCCCCATGAGAAAATATATTTAAAGAAGTCATAACGTGATTTTCATAACATGCATTGGGGACTATTTTTCATCCCACTTCCTGACTCCTAGGCTTAGAAGGTAAGCCCACGATGGGGAGGTCTTCCTTTTAAATCATTTAAGATTGATTGGTATGTGATTTTTGATGCTAAGCATGTTAATGATTTCTAGGTGCCCTTGATGCGGAGTGTCATTTTCATAGAATGACGTGTAACTACCCTTCTCTCTTGTTTCTCAGCCAAGTGGCCTGTAGCTTACAGAGTGAACCTTTCTTTGTCCACCCTGAAACATTTATATTTATTCAGAGAGAAAAAAAAAAGGAAAAAATGAAACTAACCTGCCTTTATTCTGTGATTTAAAGACAAGGCTCTCAGAAGGGCTCAGCAGCTACAAACTCATCTGTGTTTTCCGTAGAGTCTGGGGGTTTCCTAAAGAGTTTTGGAACAGAATTGGGCATCAGTGCACCCATCTGAGTGGCTTTATGTCCAGATTTGTCTAGATCTAACGTCTGTGTGTAAATATGAGACGAATCCTGTGACTGTAGAGGTTTTCTGTTTTCCTCAGAGCAAATTGGAGCACTGGCAGGGCAGCACATAGTGCATGTGGCCTGTGGAGAATCTCACAGTGTGGCACTCAGCGACCAGGGCCAGCTCTTCTCCTGGGGCGCGGGCAGCGATGGACAGTTGGGCCTCACTACTGTAGAAGACGCAGTGACAGTACCAAGGTAAATTTTTAACGCGTTCAGGTTTTCTAAAGGCAACTTCTTGGAGGTGCAGCGTGAGGGGTTGTTCTTCCAGCCTGGAGTCAGCAGGAGCGTTGCATTACCTGACAGCATTGGTAACGAGGCACTTCTTGTATACAAGTATAAGCACGAGGCTTCCTCCTTCTCTGCACTGGTAGTCCCTGAGCCCCCCTGGGATTTGGATGAGTTCTGAGGACGGTCAGGCAGCACAGACCTCCTGCTCTTGGGTGCTCAGGGCACAAAGAAGAAGAAAATCAGAGGGTGTTTGGCTTTCCTTGTTGAAAAAAGTGCCAGTGTTTTTCAAGGAGATGTATGAGGGAGGACCCAAAAATAGAAATGCTGTGTAATACCGATCTATACTCCACTCCCTAGGAAGTCCTCTGAGATAGGAGCTACCTTTCAAGAACAGGAAAACAAAAATACGGCTCCATGAACCAGCATCTCAGCTCTGAAACTGTTGTGCTGTGTTGTCCATTAGCACCTTTTACTTAGCAGCAAAGCTACTAGACCAGCCTATTGCAATTGTGAATAGTGAATGCTACTCAGAAACTTTAGGATAGTGTTCATTTTCTTCATGTACTTATTTAACATAACTTACCGGTGTCATAACACTGCTAAGGGTTAAGTGGAAGCACATGTAGATGGTGCAGAGGCCAGTGGCAGGTACCAAGACTCCTTCATCCAAAGCAGGTCACAAATGAGAGGTCTCAGCTTATCACCCTAATAAAGATATCTGATGTCTTTGTACCTAATGATGTTGTATCCATGTTGCATTCATAACAGACGAATTCTGTCTCTTAGTCCTGCTACCTCTGGAGAACCAATGCAGAGCGGGTAGAGGAAGTTTTGGACACCTATCTGGGGTGGGTGTCATTGTGGAAACAGTGTTTAAAAGAACATAATTCCAGTTAGAAAATAATAAAGTTAGAAAACATTATGTTTGAGCTGAAGGGCTGGCTATGTGGGAAGGCAGCCCTTTACTTGCAGGTAGATCTGTTATAACAGAGAGAAAGGCTCATGTGCCTGTGTGATAGTGCCGTTTTAAAAATCACATTTTTGTGAAATAACCTGGCCCTTTAAACTATGCTGTTCTCTGTACAAAGCACTGAGGAGGTTTTGATGCTATAGCTCATAGGAACTGCTTTTCCCCCTGAGAGCATGAACAATTTTGATGCCTGAAAGAGAACAGTAAGAAAGACACTAAAACTGAGCTGTCTCCACCGTTTTCCAAATGTTTGGATTCAGCTTTGTAGCAGTAACTTAGCTGGAGTTGGTAGTCAAGTGTCTAAAACTCTTTACAGTTTTGCAGCTCTTATGCATGGATCTGTATTTCCTTCAAGACTCTGTACCTCAGTTTCAAAACTGCAGATTATGGGTTTGTGTAACAAAAAGAGTTGAATGGAAATAATAGTGTTGACCCTACGTGATACTGTGTATGTAGACGTTTATTCTAAAATAGCATCTCCTCCTTTAGGTTGATAAAGAAATTGAACCAGCAGACTATACTGCAGGTTTCCTGTGGAAATTGGCATTGCCTGGCTTTGGCAGCAGGTACTGTAACATTCATTATTTATTACCAAGATTTGTACTGCTATTTTGCACAGCGTCCAAGATTGCATGTTTCCACATGACAATCCAAGGGTATCCCTGTCTCAGCTGCTTTCAGTCCGAACGGGAGACTGTGCAGTCGGTCAGATACCCTGAATATTGAAGGAGCCCAAAAAAACCTTTGCCAGTACTGTCAAGAAAGGAAAGATCATGCGCAGGCCGCCCACTGCCTCACTCTTGTATGATGGCAGGAGCACTTAAAACCTTTCCCTCTTGACGTAGAAAAATGTGTATAATTAATGTCTTTATGTGGAAGTTATCCTTGGCTATTACTCTGTGGTATGCAACGTGTGGACCATTCTTCATTGCACTGTTCAAATTACAGCAGTCCAATGTTGTGTTTTACACTTAGCCACACGTCTGTGTATTTACCTGGTGGCTTCAGGCTGTGCTTTTATTTTAGAGGATGGGTGGGAGGGAAGCCCCCAGCACTGGTTCGTGTTCATTTTGACAAACTTTGTTTTCCTGTTGACCAGTTTTTGCTCGACGACTCTTCTTCTTTCCTCGTTTCAGATGGCCAGTTCTTCACGTGGGGGCAGAACAGCTATGGTCAGCTGGGCTTGGGTAAAGAATGTCCTTCCCAAGCCAGCCCACAGCGTGTCAAATCTCTTGATGGGATCCCTTTGGCTCAGGTTGCTGCAGGCGGAGCCCACAGCTTTGCCCTTTCTCTCTCAGGAGCTGTGTTTGGCTGGGGGAAGAACAGCTCAGGGCAGCTGGGATTAAGTGATGAACGAGGTATTAAAATCCCACTCCTAACCGAAAGAAGGAATGGACTTTTTTTGCTGAGTGCAGCTTTTCTCTTCACATTGGCAGTGTATTTTTATTGAGCAGATATGTAAACTTCAGCAACTGCTCTTGGGAAGAGAGGACAGAGAGACATTCTCTAAAAGGCTCTTCAGGCTTTTCATACTTGGTAGGAACAGAAACGCTCTTTTTTCTGTTGTAGCTGTTAGTGGGAGTGAAGAAGGTCAAAAAAATAAGTTCTCTCAAATGTAAGTGTCAGCATGCGGGCACCAAAGGAAGGGCTAGGATTTTTTCTTCCTCCTCTCAAAATGCTGTGTCCATTGCTTTGTTTGAAGTTGGTGTGGAGCACAGGCTGTCCCTGTGGAACAGTGGGCTGGATCCATCCCCTAGTTTGCCAATGTGTTTTTGACTGGAGAGCCTCTGTTTGCCACCAAAGGGCAGCACAGAGTATCTCAGCATTGAAAAATGCTGTCTAGTTTATTGGTTGCATAATTTTCCAGACTTTTTCAGGTGACCATGTTCAGTATAGCGTGGCCATCAACAGAGTTGAAAATAGTTTTATAAATGAGCCTGAAGAGTGAGTATGACATTACCATTACCCTGCAAAGCCCAGAACTCCTTTGCTTGTTGTTGATGTATTCTTAACCCTTTGAAAAAGCATATGAGGGGGGGAAGTAGTTTTTTCCACCTGTAAATCAAGCTCTTCTTCATTTTCAGTGCAGTTTCTGAGTAGCTTTAAATGTACATTAAATATCTAGGCAATTTACTGAGTATGGATGTGTGCTCAGCATGCATGGATAATTTATTTTGCATGGGTGAGTACACATGCAGTGTATATATTTGTAAATGTTAGGTTGCATATGTAGTAGGTTATAAACACCATGTGTTACTAAAGAAAAGTGTTACCTTACTTATATTTTGTGTGCCTGTAATGGAGAGGCATATTTTGAAACTCACCCTAACAACTGAAACATGTATTTAAAGCTATTACTCAAAAACAGCCTGCAGTTTAGCACAGGAAGCTGAAATGTATCCTTTCATCTTGCTTTGCGTTTTTAGGAATATGAACACACTTGCAAAATTTGTAACGTATCTTGTATTCTCTCAGAAATGTTCCAGAGCTGCTTTCTTGTACTGTTTATAAGCTGGAGCACTGATCTAGTAGAAGAGTAGCTATGTTCTTCCCATATAGACTAGCAGATAGATGCTTCTAATTTCAACACAGCACTAATAGAAAAGTTGCATGTGAGAGGCTTGCTTTCTTCATAGGCTCTCCTTATATATTTAAGGGGCCTCTACTTGGGCTGTGTTGGCCAAGGATCATAGTCTGCTTACCCTCAATATATGGCACTGCTGGCAGGCACCTGTAGTAAATATTTGACATTTATGGTGAGTGAATCGTGGTAAGACAGCATAAATGATACTTAGTGAACATGAATAGCAATGTCTACAAACGTAAGTATTTTGTAGTGCTGTTATTTAAAAAGTTATGTTGTAGAGTTAAGAAGCATCGTTCGAGTCAAAACAAGATCAGTGGGTGAAAATACAGAACAAAGTAAATAAAGAATCTACTCTCATTTCTAAATCCGTGGAAATGTGACCATTTTCCTTTCACTACCCAGAAAAAGCATCTCTCAGATCCTTGGGTGAGAGTCTTAAAAAATTGACATTTTTCATTGGTGCGAAGTAAGCAGTTTTGGGGTGCCTACTGCTCTTTGAAATGCCTAACTGTGACGTCAGTATAACATGAAGTCTTGCTTGGTGTATTCATCTTGGGGAAACCTACTTTTAATGATTTAAGGCATCAGCGTGAAGGGGAAAAGCATCATTAAACCATGGCAGAGATTAGCCTTTGCAAATAGGAGGATCTGCTTCTTAGAAGATGACAAAATAAGGAAGGCCAGGCATTTAAATACACCTTGGGATTCAGCTTGTCGTTTGCCTTGCGCTGGTGTCTCTCAGGCGTCGGGATTGTTAGGTTCAAAGAGGCTCTGAGCAAGGTTTTGGAAAAAAATATATGCCGCAGTCTGAGGGAGGTCTGGTATGGAGCAGGAGGCCGAAGGTGGGTGTAGCTAGGCTGCACCAGTCACGCGTCCCAACCCGCAAGTGCAACCTGAGTTTATACAACATACTCAATATTTATGTTCTTGCTCTGGACACCTTCCTTTGTGCCTGGCACAGATCTTTTAAGAGTTGGAGGGGAAAGCAACAATGACATGTTGAAGGGCATGTTGTTTTTTTCCACGTTTGCTAAAGCCTCCACTGTTCCCTGTCAGAGTTGCGGGTCACATCTGAAAATCAGACTGCTAGTGTTCTTTTCAGACATTTAGATTTGTGTTTATGAAACAAATCCTTTTATTTTCATTGTTTCCAATGCAGACCGAGAATCCCCTTGCCATGTTAAGCTGTTGCGGTCTCAGAAGGTTGTTTACATCAGCTGTGGAGAAGAACACACAGCAGTTCTGACAAAGGTAAAGGTGCCAACCTGGGAATGCTGGCTGCTGTCTCATCTGTCTTATGGGTTCATTTAGTTTCCTGGGTAATGGCAGAAAAACAGGTTGACTTACCTTCTTCCATGTGACCTCAGCAAAATGAACTAAATGAAATAAGTGGAAAGTAAAGTCTTGTTTTAATTTATTCTGAGGTTCATCGTCCATATGATCCATTGTCATTTTTGAAATTGTAGATGCTAATAATCTATGACAACGAATAGCAAAACTCAGGTGACTCCCTCAAAGAAACAGACTCTGATCGGGAAATGTAACAAACATGCATCCAAAGGGCTGAGAACAGCATTTTGCTGGAAGGTAAAAGAGCTGTTGTGCATCAGAAGAAAAGACGAGGCTGAAGGAAGGGATGTTTAAAACAAACGTTGTCACTCGCTCACAACATTTATAAAAGAGGTTTTCAGTTTCATACCTTTTGCTGTTTCCAAGTAGTGTGCAGTTTAGTGGATAGAGGACAAGGGCTGGGTCTTGGGAAATCACTGTTCAGTTCTTGTCTCTGCTTATGCTTGGGCTGGTGGTGAAACCAGAGTCAGAGAGATGCTGCTGGGATATAGGTCCCTAAACAGAGAATATGCTGTCTGATTTGCTAACAGAGTGGAGGGGTGTTCACGTTCGGTGCAGGTTCCTGCGGGCAGCTGGGACATGACTCCATGAACGACGAAGTGAACCCCCGAAGAGTTCTTGAGCTAATGGGCAGCGAAGTATCCCAGATCGCTTGTGGCAGGTGAGTGCCAGTGTGTAGTCAGAAGTTTTCCTTTGACGGAGGTTAGTGTTGACACTGGCTCTAGTAAATTTATGGGATAGTTTGCTTCTGCATCCTATGCGTCAAAAATATTTAATTTAAATTTTACTTTGCATGAGAATTTTAAGGCGCTCTACATGAGATTGCTTTTTCATTGGGGCTGTTGTCTGTGCTATGACCTGGTGAAAGATCTCTTTCCGTCTTAATAATCCAGATGGACTCTAAAGCTGCAGTCCCTTTGGTCGCAAGTTTCCTACCTCTTTTCTGAAAAGAGAGTTACTAGTACTGTGCTGTGATGCTACTTTTTGACATGTACAGACTTTGCAAATGACTAAGCTAATTCCATCTGTGAGCCTGATACTGCATGCTGCCACAGACTACTCTTTGTCCCTTCCACCTAATGAGCCGCGCTCCATAAACTGGTGTCATCAGGTGGCAAAAACTGATCATTGGTGTTAGTGGAAGGATGCTACTTTGCACCAGCGTCTGGCCTAATAGAACAGAAAATAAATTTCAGGCTGTGTTTATTTTTTGTTTCCTTCAATTGTTAAACATGGCCCAAACTTTGTACTTGTCTCTGTTGCAGACATCACACTTTAGCCTTTGTGCCTTCTTCAGGAATGATCTATGCATTTGGCTGTGGAACAAGAGGCCAGCTAGGAACTGGGCACACATGCAATGTTAAGTGTCCCTCTCCTGTGAAGGGTCACTGGGCAGCTCACAATGGGCAACTCTCAGGGAAACCTGGTACGTGCTATGCATGATTGGGAGTGGCAAGTGGACGTAGATCATTTCATTTCACCCGTGCAGATCTAAAGACGTCTTGACATTGGTCTGTGAGTTGGAGTGAAACCAATGGAAATAGTTGAAGGATCCCAGCCCCTTAGCCCAAAGGCACTATGGAAAGTACTTGGAGACCTCTTACTCTCTCAGTCTGTGTACTCTTTCTCTTTCTCTTTTGATGGCAGACCTCAGCATTTGGTGATCTTGAGCCTTCATGAAATTGTTCTGGTACTGATTTCGGAGGGCTTAGGTTTTTCTTTAAAACACCCACTGTAATTTAAAAATTACAACTTTTCCCTCCTGCCAGGCCCAGAGTGTCTCTCAAGGAAGCGCTAAAGTTCAGCCTGGCTTTCAAGGAATCCAGCTGCTCCTTATAGTGTAAGGCCTGAGACACTGGCAGCGCATATGTGGGGGAAGTGCAAAGTCGGAACTTAAATTCATCAACCTCTAATACAACTGCATCTCTTTTTTTAACAGATGCTTGTAAATATCACATTGTTAAACATATCTTCTCTGGAGGAGACCAAACGTTTGTGCTTTGCTCCAAATATGAGGTAAAAGAAATCAAACATCATCTTAAGTCTGTCCCCTGTCCCAGCCTTCACAATGCTTCTTTTTCTTGTTCTATTCTTTTTTTTTTTTTTTTGGTCACGTCTTCCCCAAAATTGCAGTGATGTTTTGGAGTCCCTTCTACCTTGCAAACCTTACCAGTGACGACAACTGTTGCAGGGATTTCCAGCTGATTAGGAGTGAATGAAAGAGCATAGATACACTCCTTCAGGGTCATGTCAAAGAGCAGTTGGGAAGACGCTTTTTTCAGTTTGATCGACAGGAAGGAGAATTATTTCCTTTGCAGATTGTAAGGAAGGGGCTGCTTTCTCTGCAGGCATCTGGGTGATTAGTGTGTAAGGTTGCGGAACATATACACAGAGGTTCTCTGAAGACATAGGCTACCTGGAGGGCTGAATGCTCAATTGTTTTTTCTGTTTCCTTATTTCTTTCAAGAGGTGTTTGACACCCTTTTGAAAGCATATTTAAAAGGACTTTGGCTCACTGGAGAAAAAAATTCTTTTCTTTTTCTTTTCCTCTTTTTAAAATTATATTTAACGATGGTCCTTTTTTTCCGTACCCTTTTGGGTTCATTAGTTATACCACAGCTTCCTCATCAAGCCTGTGCAGAAAACACACTGAGAAAGCAATCATTTGTATATAGAAAACAGATTATGAATAAGAAGGAATTGTTTTACAAGCCTTGCCTTTGCTGAAATCTGTATCTTCTCACAGAATTCCTTGCCTGCTGATGATTTCCGGACCATAAATGAAACACGTTACACCTGTTTAATAAACGATGAAACTATAGATGTCTGGAGGCAAAAGCTTTTAGAAAAAAACAGTTCTAATTCTGTCAAGTAGGTATTGGGGCACTAGACAAGCCTTTTTTGGAAAGTTTTATTTAAAGAATTTTGTTGGCTGCCCTGCCATGTTTTCTCTTGAAACTTAGCAGCCTTTTCCAAGTGTGGTTCTTGGTCATACCCAAGGCAGAGGACAGTTGCCAGTCATGAGGATGACAGGTTAGAGCTCCCTAGCAGGACCGGAGGAATTTGAGGCAGCATCAGAACATGGCTGAAACGGTGGGTGGGAACTGGATTTAAAGTTGTCCTCTGTTATGTGCTTAGAGTTCATGAAAAGAAGCAAGAAGCTTTGTAAAGGTTAATTAAAATTCCTTTCCCTTCCTCTGTGTGCCTGCCCTAAGAAAAGCAGAGTAGGTGGAAAGAAGGCATCGCCAACATCCTTTCAGAGAGGGATGTTGCGTGATCCTGAGTGAGCCGCTTCACCCCTGTGCCTCTGAAGGAAGGGGTGATTGTGAGATTGCTTTCCAAGGAAAAAGGAGAGGAAGAGAGCTGAGGAGATTTGCTGGGACGTATATTCATACTCTGTATCTCTATGTTCTTTTGTCTTCCTGCTGCAAACAGTAATGTAGTTCAGATACTGTCCTCGGCCGCCTGCTGGAATGGAAGCTTCCTGGAGAAGAAGTAAGTGGCAAATGAAGTCAAGAAGCGTGGCTTTCCCTTGAGACAAACTAGAATCTCTTTACGGCCTTCACTGTTGCAATGGGCTTTGATTTTTGTGATTAGGTAGGAGACTGGGGCAGAGAGCAGCCACTAAGGAGATAGGTGGTCAGAGCTGGATAAGAAAGACAAATAGTCTAAGAAAGTGAATAGTGAGTTTACTGTAAGTGCCACAGAATCCCTGGAGTTGTCACAATTGTTATTTTTTCTTATAACATGCATAAATAAATAAATAAATACATATATATATATATATTTTTTTTTTTAAAGAGAAGGGTAGGAGTACTGACCTTAAGGGAAATGAGTGATTCTGGGTGTCCTGAAGAGTCTCATACCCAGCAGAGCAGGGTGGGGACTGGTGTGTGTGGAGGTATGCTTCAGCACAGGCTACTTTTTAAAAAATACATGCGTATGAGCAATATTTCAGCACTTTCCTTTTAGGTGATGCCAGTTGTGGAAAGTTTTGTGCTCATGCTTATGAAAGCAGGAATTTCAAGGAGAGGATGATTGTACAAGTAAAGGATTAATGGGTGTAACTAACAGCGGGTGGTGACAAGGCTGTAATATGCATAGCTTGGTGAAAGGCCATGGGCTGGGAAGGATTGTGGTGGCTGTGTCTATAAATGGTGGGGAGGTAACAGCATAAGATGAAGAGGAGGAGGAATTTTTATGGTGATGTGATGAGTAATGACCTGTAGCTAGGTGAAGAAGAACCTACTTACTCTGAGTCATCTTTGAGTAATCTTTTCCAAGAACAACTTGCAAAGAAAATAATTTACTCTTTTTTCCTACTTTTTTCCACTGGTACAATGGTTTCTTCTCCAACCTTGTGAGAAGGCATCATGCTACCACGTCAAGGGAGTTGTATCATGTTGATTTAAAGCGCTCTGTAAGATTTCCAAGTTGTTGAGTCACAGTAAATATTAATCTCACATCTCCTTTGATTGTGGAAATGAGTGAAGTGCATGACTTGATCACCCCAATGTGGTTGTCTTTCCACCCTAATGATATCTTGGCTAGTGCAGGATTTAACTTTTTCAGAAGATCTGTGACCAAATGAATCGTAAAATCTGAAGCCACCGTACCCTGAGGTGAGGCTGTATTTAAACATGCATCTCTGTATGTGAAGCATAATGTCACAGCGCACCTGACAGAAATACCCTCGTACATCCCTTCAGTATCCTAATGCCATTTAGGCTTGTTTACAGTATAGCATTGTGGCGCACAGAGTTAGATGGAAGAGCAGTTTTTCTGTGCCTGTGTGACTGGGCACGCTCCAGTACTGCTTCTGCACATCACAGCCTGGAGCTCTGTGCGCCACAGTGTGACTCTGAGGAGCTATTTCCAGCCTGGTGCTTGTGGTGTTACGGAAATAACTCTTCTACTACAGCAGGCTAAGTTTAGCTTCTCATATCATTAGAGCCGCATCAGCAAACTGACTAATGCATCTGGTGTTGAATAGGTACCTTTTCCTTCAGAGGGTGTCTGGTATGGCACAGGCTCAAGGTGACTCATGACGTATGGCTCTTGGGAAATCCTTGTGTGGGAGTGTAGTAATGACCTCCTCTCTTTTTAGTATTGTCCGCAAGGTTTTACATGCAGTTTTATCTGCAGATGGTGGTGCTGAGAGCCACTGTTACAGATGTTGAACATGCTCTAGCTGCTGAGCTGGGTAACTTACCTGCTGCATTGCAGGACATTTTAGTGTTGCTAAATCAAGTTGTCAGATTATCGTCATCTGTAGGCTTGCCTTCGTTATCTCACTTACACAGCATCTTGGGTAAATTACACCCTTTCAAGTATAGCAGAAAGGCCAGCGCACGTTTGTTACCACTAAAGACTGTGTGAAGACTCCTCTCAACTGTGCTGTGGTGTGGTTGTGGTCCTGGTTTAGTTTTAGGATGGAGCTGCCAAAAGAACTGCTTTGAAAGTCTCGCCCTGTTTCCTTTTGAAATCCCTCATCTGATGTTCCCTCGTGTAACAGGCAGCGTCTTGCACGTTACCCTTCCCTTTTTTACAGTGTGTGAAAAAACAGATTTTAAACAGATTTTTGAGATTTTTAAACAGTCAGACCTGTCCAGGCAGGCTCTTAGGTCAGTCAGGTGTGCTGGGGAAATCAAAGAATTTGGTAAAGTGTTTATTTGCAAGAATCCCAACCCTAAACAAGGCTCAGAGGAGTACAAAAGGGGGAAATGGCTGTCTTGTGTTTAGCAAAAAGAGTCCAATTTCTGCTTTGTTTCTAGTCTGATTAATTCCCTGGAGATCGTTTCTCTATTGCTTGCTCTCAGGATATGTCAGTACACAGGGTAGTGCTGACTCTTTCTTAAATTTATGCCAGCCTGTCTGTGATTTTTTTTAAAGAATCGATGAACATTTTAAGACCAGTCCCAAGATCCCGGGGATTGATTTGAACTCCACTAGAGTGCTGTTTGAGAAGCTGATGAACTCTCAGCACTCCATTCTCCTAGACCAGGTATTGCACATCTGGATTTTCAGGTATTCAGAGGGGGAGTAAAGACTTTGTCCCTCTGTAACATGCAAGTAACAGTAGCTTTTTGGGGGGCAGCTAATTTCCACCCTCTGAGAATATGGCCCAAAAGCTTGTTTTTATAAAGTTTTGTCCCATGGCACTGAATACTTGAAATAGCTCCTGAAATTAAGTCTGCATGTGTTACACTTGTAATCAATGAATGTATTCTCATTTCTTGCATGTTGAGTACTTAATGGTTTTATACGAACGCAGGTACTGCTTATACCAACAGTTTATTCAAACGCAGGGGGTATCTCTCATGAATGCAAGATCTGTGAGATGCAATTGTGTATGTTCTCTGTGTCGTTTTTTAAACTATAATTTTTAGATTTTCTTTTCCCCCTGTGTTTTTTGATCTTCAGATGATATAATGACTTCAATGGATTTAGAGTGACAACCAGTTGAAGACTCAGCTCACAATATTTTAAATAGTTCCTGAACGTGTGCTAGGTAGAACCACTAAGTTCAGTGAACGTTATGGGACTTTACAAGTCGCAGAGTAATAGCAGTTCTTAGCTAGTGAAATCTGTTCTCATGAGATGAGTGAGGTTAGATTTGCTTGCTGAGCAAATAAGTCACTGTAGCTGCTAAGTATATGGCTTTGGTGCTAAAAATCTCAGGCATTCTTCTGACTTTAATGCCAATGATTCCTCCTCATTTGGTTCCAAACAAGATGCACAATAGCATCTACAGTACTTGAAGGTAAATATAGTGGCAGTTGATTTCTGTAGTGTGGCATAAGCTGATGATGGATGGCTTTGTTCTGTAAAGTTGATGTTGCAGGATATGATCCTTTTTACAGTCCCTCATAATATGTTTCCCAGGCCATTAGGGGTATACATTGTATTGGCGGGGTCTTCCAGCTATTATGATGGCAAAAGGAGAGCCTCAGTGAAAAAAATCTTTCTGGCCTATTTTCAGATGCCTGAGCAAATTATTGAGGGGGAAAAGGAAATTTTTTTTCAAGCCAAATATTTATAGTGGTGAAAAGCTACAAACTTAAAAAATTACTTTTTAGAATTGAGAATGTAAAACATCTGTATGTCTGATTCATTCAAAGCACAGTTCTCCCTACAGCTCTCCAGAATCATTCAATTTTCTTCCTGTCATTTATTCATTAACCATACCTAATCATTATTTTCAGCCTCCCTGGCTCCTCTAAAGCAAAGATGACTTGGCATATGGAATAGTTCTGTGGGTGACAAAACACATTAAATCCTTATTTTAGGCATAGTGGGACCTAGATAGTAGGTGCTCCATCATCCAGGATAAGTTGCCTTCTTTTGTCTTGTTTCCCTCTAGATATTAAAGAGCTTTGAAAGCTTTTTGATTCCTCAGCTGTCCAGCTCACCACCAGATGTTGAGGCAATGAGGATCTATTTAATTCTACCTGAATTCCCACTCTTCCAAGACTCAAAGTATTATATAACGCTAACACTTCCTCTAGCAATGGCTATTTTGCGCCTGGACACCAACCCCAGCAAAGTTCTTGGTAAGGGATAATTCATTTTCTCCCTTTGGGCCATTTTAGACGCGTTCTGCTCTAAGCATCAGGCAGGGAGAGAAAGCGTTGGCTTTAGATTTTTCAGTCATGTTTTGTGTTGCTTAACCTTTTGTTTTGTTACTACAGCTGTGATGATAATTGAGTGTTATTTATGATATAGTGTTGTTAGGAAGGATTCACCTCCAAAAAGGAGTGGGGGAACCAAAAGCATTCCAGGAATCTGCCCCCAACCTAAGTTCGCATGTAAAAAAGCTTTTTGAGTGTGCTCCGAATTTTAGGTTTAAAATATGAGGAAATGAAGAACTTGCCATACAGGTAAAACGTGGGAGTTGCACTAATATGAAACGTATAGAATTCATGATAGCGTGGATAATAAATGAGAAATGAAATTGAGGTTAAGAATCATTTTAATTTAGAAAGAAAATATCACTTCAAAAACGCTTACTAGGGAAAACCCTTATCTGATTTGCCTACGTTCAGAGATTCAATTCAAAAGAAATTTTTAAGGCTGCTGCATGAACATAGGTTTTGTATATTACGAAGATTATAGATCTTACTCTCTTAAATTTAATCAGATATTACCCACATTAAAATATCCTGCTCTGTATAAAGTTAATAAATGAATGTACTGCTGATACAAAGTGGTCTTGTCCTATATAAGGTACAGAAGAACCTGTTGACTGTTTTCTCACCAAGCTAAACTTCCTAGCTCTTCTCCTGCTTCTGAGTAGTCTCATTTCTGCTCGTATTATTTCCTATTAGCTCAGCTTAAGCTAAGTAGAATATATGCTGCTTACAGTCGTTACTCATGTTTGCTAAGATGTGATGTTTTTGTTATTTTTTTGTGTTTCTTAAGATTATCTTATACTTATTATCATATTATCATGTATAATGCTATGTAATGCGTTCAGGCCTCCAGGAGCATTGCTCCAGTAAAATTTAGTAATTCTTTTCTTTATTGAGAGAGGGTTTGGAAACAGCTTGCCTCCTCCGCTCAGAGTTCCTAGTCCACTGTGACTGTTAGCGTATAGAAATGTAAGAGAGTCTCATACGTGGCACGCCAGAAGTTATTGTTGCGCTGGCACCTGAGGGAGTACGTTGGTGTTTGTTTCTAACAGTAGACGTGAAGGTTTCCCAAGCTCCTGCTTCTACTTTGCAGGCAGACTGGGTCTAGTGAAGACGCTAATAGACCAGAGTCCCTTCAGAGGAGAGGCGAGGGTTGTTGTCCTTGGCAAGGAAGACATCAGCCTTGTTAAAGAGGGAGAGTTTAGACCTGTAGCACTGACATGCCGAGGACGCCCTCTGACACCTGCTAGAAAAGTTTGTGGTGCTGACGGAGAGTGGACCATGCAACTATTTTCTTACCACTCACTGAAAGCTAGTGAGTGATAGAGAGATTAAGGTCATGGGTTCTCTGCAAGGACACAGTACCTTGCAAAAATCTTGAATTCGGACTGTGGCACTAATTGGCATGGGGGCTGCGTGGGGAGTGGGGTGGTTATATGAGAAGGGAAGGAAAGAGCTTTGAGACTTCTAGTGTCTGCGGCTGACTTGTCTTACTTTCCTATCGCTGCAGTTAGGAGAGAAGTAGGGAAGTTTTCTGAAATTATTCTTAGATGTATGTGCCTATTTTCAGCTGTACCCCCTTGCGTAGGAGAATACTCTGTGGCCTTCAATTTAATATTTATATTGATGTTCCTCTCCTTTCCAGATAACTGGTGGTCTCAAGTGTGCCCAAGGTATTTCCTGAGACTAGTGGACCTCTATAAAGGGGCAGTGGTATACCTCCTCAGTGGAAGAAAGACGCTGTTGATCCCGGTCCTATTCAGTAGCTACATTACAGCTGCTCTCAGACTTCTGGAGAAACTCCACAAGGTAAGAGGGAAGCCTGGGTGTGAGCTGGCGCCAGGTGATTCACAGTCTCGTCTCTGCCCTTCACCAACTGGCAGGGGAAGAGTGGTCACAGACCCAGCTTGATGCCTGTGTCATTGCCCACTGAGACGCCAGAAGAGGGAAGATGTTAGTGGCTGTCTTGAATTCAGGGTGCTTGAAGACCGTCTAGTCCTGTCTCAAACACTAGGAAAAATTTACCTTAGGGAGCACGACTGCTGAGCCACCAGGCTGTGTGCCATTGCTTCATCACAAATACCTGTTTCGTCATCCTTTCTGCTCCCGCTGCCTTGGTGCTGTTGACTCTCGTTGAGGAGGAGGGAGAACTGAAAGAAGCAGTAGGAAAGAAATTTTTCTTGACCATGTTTTGCATCATTCCGTGTGTCAATTAGTTTGTAGCAAAATATAAGGCACCTCAGTTACTTGCAAGGCTTTCTGAGGCCTGGTGTTGCAAGCTGCTGAATGTGATTGTGTCTGAGCTGCAAGAGGAAGCCTTTTTGAAGAAAGCAACCCTGCCTGTTCACAGGAAAATGCTGAACACATCCATATTTTTAAAACCTTCTGTTTTCTTCACTAGGTAAATCAGAAGGTTAAACACGTAGAATACGATAAGTTTTATATCCCTGAGATTTCCAGCTTGGTGGACATTCAGGAGGATTATCTCATGTGGTTCTTGCATCAGGCTGGAATGGTAAGATGTTTTATGTGTAGTCATGAAATAGCTGTCGGTGTTTGTGTCTCTGGTCTTAAGAGATCTGCATTTTTAATATCTTTAATAAGAATGTAATGCATACAGTATAGGAGCACCTGTATGTAAGCTCTCTCAGATTTGGGTACTCAACAGCTTGACAAACTTGCCTTAAAATAAGGCCACCCGAAAAGCTAAAGCTAACAATATTTAACTAATGCTTGTAACGATATCTGTGATTATTCATGTGAGTCCCATTCAATCCTTGCACAAGGGGATTAATTCAGTCGCTGGATCCTTTTAATGTAATCAACACCTCAGGAGCCAAATCCTGTATTCTAAAATTATAATTTTTACCCTTTACTTCTGCTGTTTAGGCAGGTATTGTGAATAATGTAGCCAGTGATCTTAAAATGTTGCTCTGTAAGAGGAGGCAGTGTGGCGTACTGGCTAGGGGACTGAACCAAGACTCAAGAGATGTGGGTTCTATTCCTGGCTCTTCCAGTAACCTGCTGGGTGATCTTGGGTAAGACCCTTCACCTCTTTTATGCCTCACTTTCCCATCTGTAAGAATGGAAATGACTAAACTGAGGGCTGGAAAATGCTGTGTAGGAGCCCAGTAAGAATAATTATAGGAAGGAAAGAAACCCCAAATGTGAGAAAACGCCAAAAAACATCTATCAAGGGATGCTGCAAGAATAAAACCTGACTGTAGCAAGAATTTTTGTGTGTGTTTTTATGGACTTTGTAAATGTTGTTTGCTGTGCCCCCTGTCCCTGCCTTCCGTCATATAAGTAGTGCTGCTCAGTGCTTGCTTTCAGTGAGCAGAGCAATATAATATTGACTCAGTGTTATGTAACAGTAATAGATAAGAATGTATCAGTATGCCTAACAAGAGGAGTGAGTTGTGTTGCTGGAGCGGTCTTAGGTAGTCAGGTTGTGGCCTTACATTCTCTCCTGTTGTTTCATATGGTCTCTGCCTTGGGGATGTTTTTCTTATTTTTCTTCAGAAGAGTGAATTTCACCTATGGCAGGCTAAGACAGGCCTCTGTGTCAGTTAGTTCTCTTAGTAATGTTTGATGCGCAAGTTTTGAATTGGAACTTGTGCATTTCCTTGAGAAGGAATTTTCTGTGCTTCTCTTTAAGAAGAAAAAACTAGATTGTTGGTCCCAGAGGAGATAAGGTTTCTTTGGGTCACCTTTGAACTAGTCCATCCTAAAAAATACAAGAGACAAAATCGAAAGAAAGAAAGGTTTTTATTTTTCTCTTTTTTGCCTTCACAGAAAGTGAGACCATCTATCATGCAGGTAAGAAAATTGTTCTTCATGTTTCTTATTTGAAGAAGTGCTTATCGAAGCTGCAAATTGGGAACCAGTCTGCCTGCCTTTCTTGCAGGACACTGTGACACTCTGTTCTTATCCTTTCATCTTCGATGCTCAGGCTAAGACGAAGATGTTACAAACAGATGCCGAACTACAGATGCAGGTAACTTTTCTCTCTTCCAGTTTTCCCGTCCAGTGTCTTTTTTCCTGCCTTTCCCATCAGTGCCTGCAAAGAATTCACTGGGAGTTAGTGTGCAGCATTTCCTTGTTTCTGTGACAAGGGGGAACCAAGTAGCTGGAGAACCTCTTTGCCCTGGATACTGCAGAGGCAGTTCCTGGTTTCTTTCACTCTAGTAAGCTTAGTAACATCAGAACTGCCAGAAGTGGTGGAAATTTACGCAGAATACTATGTATTTGTGGTCATCTAAGGGTAGAAGTAAGGTGAGGTCTCTACTAAAGGAGCTGTAAGGCTGGAAGAGCAGACAGGCTTTCAGGTAAGCAGGCTCCTTTTTGAAGCTTCTGCCAGACGCAGAGGATGCGATGATCAGAAACTGAGGCTTGAGGTCCAACTCACGACCCCATTCATGATTGCAGGCAGTGGCTGTTGTCACCAGCTAACACATCCATCTGCGGTAACGGGCACAGAGCCCCGGTGCTCCGGGAGTGGGGTGTCACAGCAGCTGGTCAGCTCTCGCACCCTTACCCTGTAGGTGGCAGCCAAGCTGTATCCCAGCCAGTCTGTGAGAAGGGACAGCTGGCCTGCCCTCTGTGCCAGTGTACGCTGAACGCTTATCAGTGCTGGCCAGTATTGCTCATGCAGGTGGCCCCTGAGAGGGGCAGAGCAGTGGTCACTGGTCCTGCATCTAGTGCAGATGGGGTCAGGGACTAGTCCAGTCCTCTGAGAAAGGAGTCGGGCAAGGTCCTTGGTTGTTAGCTTCCTTCAGAGTGGAAAGCTGTCATCAGTTACTCACGGCCATGGTGCTGGTCTCGTGTGATATCCGTCTCTTGGCTTTTCTGTGGCCACTTGACCACGTGGTCCCTGGCAAGGAAGAGGAGGCTGGGCCCACGCTCACTCGACAGCATGGGGTTGGCTTCTGGTGCTGTCGTTTTTGCAACCAGCTCCCCAGAATGTGATTGTGAACAGTGCATTGCTGAGAGGAAGGTTTCTGCCTTGCCTTGGCAGGACAGCAGTCTGGCATAGGTTTTGCTGTCCTGAGAGACAGGATCTTTATGAAAACAGCCACTAAGAGGCCACAGAAACAAGTAGTTTTGTGAATGCTGGAACAAAGGAAGCCTGGCTTCCGGTGGATTTCTGTCTCATGGTCAATTAACTTTGTAAGTGAATTATACAGTGTGCATTTGTCACTTACTAGAATCCGCGAGTGAGAATAAAACACACTATGTGTGGTCAAAGCTTTGACTAGAATTTGTGCCTTACCAACACGTAAGGCACAGAAAATCCACGTAGGTGAAAACTTTGGAATGTGTGGGGTGGGTTCCCTGGTGCCTTGCAAGTTGCAGCTGTCACCTGGCTCCTCGCCTGGTATGTTAGTAATACTGCTGTCCCTCACGGACTATCTGACATCTTTTCAAGGTTGTTTTCACACTGAGTTTTTTGCTCAGTTGAGAGCATGAATAAATTCTCTTTCCTCCACCTATCTGCCTTATGTCACACAGTGTGCAGGAGTTTAATAACTCCTTGGCTCAAATTTGATTGGAGTAAGTCAGCGGACTCAAAAGGTGGTGGGTGTGGGAAATGGGGGGGAAATGAGACATACATGCGTGTACAGCATGGGCGCAGAATCCTTGTACTCCTGCAAAAACAGGCTAAAAGAGCGAGGAAGAAAAGAACAGCAAGCATATGGTTACTAACTGTTTTCCTTTCAGAAGAAGAAAGGAGCAGAACAGCAGCTGTTTTTTCACACCTCTCATTTTCAGGTGGCAATAAATGGTGCAAATTTGCAGAATGTCTTCATGCTTCTCACCCTGGAGCCTCTGCTGGTCAGAAGCCCTTTCCTGGTACTTCATGTCCGCAGGAGTAACTTGGTCGGTGATGCTTTGAGGGAGTTGAGCATCCATTCAGACATTGATTTGAAAAAGCCTCTTAAAGTGAGTTTCCCCCATTCAGCATTTCCCCTTCAGCGTTCTGTCATCCAGCTGACATTTCTGCTGCCCTTCTGTCCTTCACACAACCACTTCACCAGTGTAGGTTGGCTTCTCTGTGTCTAGAAAACACAGGAAGACTTCATCTAGTCAAGAGGGGTTTGAGTCTTTCTCTTCCCTGACCCTGCGTTGTTTTGGCAATGGTCAGTTTACAAAACACATAGAGAGTTTGCTTTCTGTTTTGGAGAAGTTGTCCTGGTGCATCTCCTGTATAAGGGAGAGGGGGAAAAACATTGCTATGTTTTGATGCAGTGTCTTATTTGCAGGACTAGGCCACTCACAATAGGATGTGTTTTGTCCCTTAGAGGCTGCTACACAATTCAGCAGCTGCTAGAAGCAGCTGTGGTAGCATTTGCTTGCAGAAGAGAGCTATCATGTTGCTGCTGCTTTTGTTGGGAGGACAAGTGGTTATTTATGATTTAGTTACCAATCACCTTGAGAAAAATGAGGAGTTAAGCATTTTTCAGAATATCAGATTTGCTAGTCCCTGTTTCTTTTCCCTCCCTGCAAACAAGGCATTGAAACGGGCTCATGGGTTGAGGTGGATTTGGGTGTGTCAGATGACCCGCTTTGCGTATCTTCCAATTAGCAATACGTCCAGTTCGCTTAGTAGTCTCATCTCTGCTTCCTTGTTACTGACCAGCTTTTCCTGCAGGTCATCTTTGATGGTGAGGAAGCTGTTGACGCTGGAGGAGTGACAAAGGAATTTTTCCTGCTGCTGTTAAAAGAACTCCTCAACCCCATCTATGGCATGTTCACTTACTACCCAGAGTCAAACCTGCTGTGGTTTTCAGACACGGTGAGCCCTTGCCCTGTATACACGCTGCTTGAATGAATATGCTCTGTTTGAGTGACAAGAAAGTTAGTGGCAAACTGTGGGAAAGTAATGATCTTCCTCTCGTTTTCCACCCACAACACAATGTGAGCTCTATTTCTAGTCAGCATGAATTTGTATAGGTCCATTAACTTTAATGGAACTGTGATGATTACGCCTGTTAAGGAGTTGGCTCTTTTTCTTTATTCTTATCCCATAATAAAACATGTATTAAGTATCAGATGACAGTTGATAAGAGAAGGGTTAATAGAACTCTCATAGTCATGAATGTGATAATCATGTGCTGGTTTACAGGTTCAGAGGCTTAAATCATAGTGACATTAGAGTTCTGTGCTTCCCTTGCTGTTCACATAATTGCAATCAATCCACTTATTCATGCATCACTATCACCTGCAGGGTCTAAACTTGTCGATGTTTTATGTCAGGGAGCTCTTAAACAGCAAGAAACGTGGTTTGCAGCAAAAGTTAGTTGGTTTTTGAAGGGTGTGAAGTGCAAGTTCTCTGCCTGTCAGATAGCATTATGCTGGGAGATGATGGTTTATGTCCTTTCTTTCTTGCCCTTCTTAGCTAGTAAGATGGAAAAACTATGTTATCAGTCTCCCCTTAAGGTGTAGCTGCTCTGGTGGGGGTTCTTTTAATGCATTAATTACATTTTACAAAGAAGGAAATGACATGGTACCTTTTGTAGCTTGTAAACAGTATTACAGAGCAATTACTCTTTGTGCTGTAAAAATAGCAGTATCTTTTGACGCTAAGAATGATGACAGTGTAAGCACTGAAAATACCAGAATCACTTACTTGTAGCATTTAACAAATATAGGCAGACCGATTGTGACTTACGTCTCAATGTGAGAGTAAATGTGAGAAAGAGTGAAGACCGATATACCAACACGTATCTGTGTTTGCTTAGGTACCACAATGGTTTTGCATAAGTTTTTAATAGAAAATAGGATGGGAGGAAGGGGTAGAGGTCTTGCTGTACATAGATGGCAGATGTTGAAGCCTCATTGACATCTAAATCCAGAAAAGTGTAATAAGGAAATAAAAGACAGAAAAGGTGGAAAGCAGCTGTAGCTATTTGAAACTGTTTCTACAGCTAATCTTGGCTTACAGAGGTAATAGGACTTGTTTTCTGAAGCCTCAGTCCTGCGCCACAGTCCGGCAGGACTAGGATCAAGGAATTCAGGACCAAATTGGGACCTGATGGGAGCACTTTGTTTTTGCCCCAGCTGAGAAAGCAGGGGTCAGCTTTTTAGCGTCATCATCTCATGGGGGTAAGGGGTACTGTGCACTGCACTAGTTACAGTGTGTCTCATCAGGATTTCTGTGCGTGGTTTTGAAGTGTTTTGTAGAACACAACTGGTTTCACTTGATTGGCATCATATGCGGTCTTGCAATATACAACTTCACCGTGGTAGACCTTCACTTTCCCTTGGCTCTGTACAAAAAGCTCTTGAATGTGAAGCCGTGCCTAGAGGATTTGAAGGAGCTGTCCCCTACAGAAGGAAGGTATGAACAACAAAAGGGCAGCCTTTCTGGGAAGGGAAACTATCCACTTGGGAAAAAGAAATGCCAAACTGGATAATAGCTCTTCAGTGAGCCACCTTCTGATCCATTTCAGTGACTGATTAATTTGTGGGCCACGATCCAAGGAAATCACTTAGGTGTGTGAGGAGTTTCACAGGAGCCATCTCCTCTCCCACAGGCTATCAGGTTTGTGTGCTCAGACTGTAACCCCTGAACCCACCTTCCCGACCCCAGAAAACTGGGGTGTGGAAAGATACCTGCCACACACCTTAGAAAGCAGGGAGTGGGGGCCTATCACTCCACAGTGTGTTTGTACGCAGGATCCCAGATCATGGCCTCAGCCTTTTCCCCCACGCCAGGCTTGGATTAGCGAGCAGGTCTGATGCATGTCTCATGATGTAGCGTAGGATGGGAGCTGTGTGGAGGATGTACGCGTCTCTGTGGGCAATTCCTCCTCTCTTGTCTTCTCCCTGGATCACCGTAACTCTGACGTGGTCCCATGCTAGAAAGGGAGTTGAAAGGGGTGAAGGAATGGCTTTTTCTAAACAGAGTATTGAATGTTTTCTGCATAATTGTCTGGGGACTTTTGTTTCCTCTCACAACTGAGAGGTTAAGGTCACGTTGTCTGACTACTGTTTCCTTTTTTCTTCTGAGTTGCTGTCTCATTTATCAGCGCAAAGCTGCCACTGCATTTAACAGTAATGAGGTAAAACGCCAAGAAGACAGCATCAGGATTTAAAGGAATAGGAGAAGAATATTTTGAACATAATAGGGATATAGATCTAACTTCCCACCGCCCTTACTTCCTTTGTTTCCTCAGCCATTTTGTGTGGTGTTTATACTATCTAGCAGTCCTTAAGAATTAGAACTGTAAGTCTGTTCTGAGGCCAGGATCATTAATGGGGATCGCTATACAAGGTAGGTATGGATTATATCGATAATCTGTGTTTGGGGCATATTTCTTTCTTGCCCCTTCAAGTGACTCAAGAGTTTCTCCCTCTTGCAATACTATTACCCAGATGTATGTTGTTGTTTAGTTTTGCTGATTTTCTTTTCCCCTTTACATGTGTGGTTTTCTGGAGCTCTGATTTTTCCTCCTCGTTCCCTGTCTCTCTTGTAGGAGTCTTCAGCAGCTTTTAGATTACCCTGGGGAAGATGTAGAAGAGACGTTCTGCTTGAATTTTACAGTAAGGCACATTTAACATGTCAGTGCTGTGATTGTTATGGTACAGTTGAAGCCCATCTGTTTATTCATGTATATTGTAGTTTATTCCCAAGTATGCCTGTAGGACATGCACCATACTCTTCAGAAATGTTAAAATTTTTTACTAGCAGCTCCCTTTTTCTTGTATATATGGCCATGAGAACTCAGGTAGTAGGTCGATAAGCTGGGTGGTATATATATTCAGAATAGCCTCGTCACTGTGGCACCTGACTTAAATGCCAGTGGCCGATTTCTCGGCCACAAGATAATGAGAAGTAGATTCCTAAGTCCCCCCTGAAAATGAAAGTTAGGCTTTGACATCACTGGGTTGATTCTGGAAATTTTAACACAATTTAGAATTTTCCTTACTGTCATAATGCTAATATTTCTTAACTTGAAAGATTATAGTGAATATATTTGGTCAGGCTTTCTTAAAAACAAAGTGCTGGAGCCTATTACTAGGAGAAAGACTGAGGTAGTTGCATTCCTGGGCTACTAGGGTGGTAAAAGAATTTGTTTCTAGCTAGTAGTGTAGAGACAATAGTTTCTATAATGGCAAGTTGATTTCCCAAAATAAAGAGACAAATCTTTATATACATTAAAAGATTAGGTAGGTCCTTCATCATGTGCAAACATGTAGAACCTTACAAAGAAATACAGCATCTTTATTTGTTTCAAAGTCCCGATGCTCTAACGGACTCTGTGTGATGGATTAATCTCAGGCTTGGTCTGGGTTCATGGCTGTTTGTCTGGAGCCATCCTGAGGTAATAGCAACGTGCCAGAAAGCTCTACTACACCCTGTGAAGAAAGTACTTGCTGAGGTGGGAGAACGTTGTCCCTTGCATTGTTTAATAAAGGACAGCACATACAGTAAAGTGTCTTTTATCAGACTAGCGTCTGGAGTCATTCAAAGCTGAGTCGGACTATGTCTCATGCAGGTTAGAGTCACAGTTTAGGGTGAGGTGATGAAACCATAATGATCGTGATAATGATGATAATATAAACTATTTTAAAAGGCTACCTTTAGAGTAACCTGGTAGAATTTTCTCCAAATTCTCTTTTCACATAAAAGGGGATTCTCAGTCTCTTTCTTGCTCTTCCTACCACATAATACATACACACATGCAGACGCATATGCTAAAGCCCTGAAATGAGTAAATCATTGATCTCCTAAACTCTGAAGTGAATAAATAACTGATCTCCATGCTTGTCAAAATCTGTGGGTCTTTTATGTATGGCAATTTGAAGATTTGCCCTTTTGCATTTTTTTCCACATGACCAGTTGTGTATGTACTGAGTACATTTGGTGCCATTCGAAGCCAGGCAAAAGCAGCAAATTGTCTGTGGTCATGCAGTCTTGTGAGAACAGATGAATTAACATACTGACCTTCTGTTATAAAAAAAAAAAAAAAAAAAAAAAAAAAAAGGGAATCCTTTTTATTGCCACGGCATGTGGTCTTAGTAAATATAGTTTTCGTAGTGATCGATCCCTTTTTTTCTGCAAGAAATTGACCTAAAAGGATAACTTTATTCCCTTCCAAGTTTGCACTTAGACTTAATAGGAAGTCGTACAGCAAACGCAAATGATGGAAAATGGTGAAACATACAGGGCAATTGCAGTAGAGAAAAATTGCTGAGCGTATGCCATTTTCTCTGGCCTCTCTGCTGCACCGTTCACATACCAGTAATCAACTGTGAAAGAGAACCTTGTATCTTTTTGCAGGCTTATGGCCAGGGAAGTACTTTTGATAAAAACTAGTTTTCTGTTTTTGTATAGATCTGCAGGGAAAGCTATGGTGTAACAGAGCAAAAGAACCTGATTGAAGATGGAGACAAAATTCTGGTGCAGAAGAATAATAAGTAAGCGGGGCGTATGTGGGGATGGACTCAAATTTGTGGTCAAGTCAGACGCCACAGAAATTTGGCTGAGACGAAATTTGGGAAATGCATTAGAAACTACTGCGAGCAAATTCTAGAACTGGTTGTTCAAAATTATTAGACATCCATGGCCCTTAAAAAAACAAGAAGACTTTCAGCATCTTTCCACCCATGTTTGGAAAATGTCCCACACTCTTTTGGATGCATATCTTCCCTATAAAAGACCTTCACATGGACCCTAGGACAGCTTGCTCATGGTAAATAGAGATTGCAGCATGATGTGGGCCCTTGAAAGTTAATCTCCCTGATTGTGTTTACAGGAACTGTACGTGACAAAAAAAAAAAAAAAACAAAACTGAGACTAGCAAACTTGTTTAGATTATTAATTCTGGAGCAGGAAGCACATTCTCTTGTGCATGCCTGATAGGAGAGAGGACCGCTATCCCTGATTAGAGCCGCAAGGCACTACCGTACATAAACAAACTCCTTTCCATTTGACTGACCCCCTGAGAGTTATTATCAGCATAGCTACCATTTCCCCCACTTTTTTTTCTCCAGCTGCTAAACTGTTTTCTTCTCATAATCCCGTAATTGGATTTCTACAGATGCCATTCTTACTTGAAGCAGCATTCAAATTCTTTCTCTGCTGGCAAAACAGTGTGATCCAGTGATTAGTCAGCAGCATGGTTAGGGGCTTATACTGGGGTTGCTGAAGACCTTACTGGCAAGCCTGGAGATGAAGTCTTTTCCTATTAGTCTGATTATTTAAAAAGGTTCTGATTGTGTCTAAAGCCACTGCTGTGACAAAAGTATTGTCTATTACTTTCTTAGCTACTTCACTACTGCACAAAAGGGTGCATGTTTACAGCCAGATAGCTGCCTCCATGCAAAATCCAAGTGGAGATGGAGCAGCGTAACTCTGTCTCCCTGCAAAGAAAAGGTGGGCTTCAGGTAAATAGAGGAGAATTTGGACCTAGGCTTGGTGCAGTGAGGTAAAAATGAAAACGCCAGTAATAGTCTCCTTTAGGCTTTTAGGTTGGCTATGTTCCCTCCGAAGAAAAAGACCATTTTCCTACTGTGTGCCAGATTGGCCTAGGGAGAGGAACAAAGGTTTTAGCTCAGAGCAAATGTTTGGGAAGAGCATGCACATTAGCTCCTGCAACTGTTAAGTCAGGACAGGCAACGAGAGAAGCAAATCCACCAGGAGAAAGGCTGGTTTGTAGCTGTACCAGCTTAACACATTCCAGAATGTGATTGCTTTCTCTTGACCAGAGTTCTGAACTCAAGCTAACCTCTAAATCCAAGTCTAGACACAGCTGTCATTTTGTCCGCCTTGCAGTGCTTAATTACTTCCTCCACCCCTGCGTTTGGAGGTCAGGGGACCAATTTGCTGCCCACCTGGCCTCAGTGGTGTGCTCATGCACGCCCTTGGGCACTGCTCTTCCTGCTTGAAGAAGGTTTACCAGGCACTGAAGAATTCACAGGGTTGCTCTCCCTGAAAAATGCCAAGTAGGAAATGCCTGCATTGTCCCTTTCTCCTTTAGAGTTCATATTGGCTGTTGCAACAGAAAGTGTTCTTGATAAAAGGTTCATGACCATAACGGTCAGAGACCTTAAGCTACCGTTAAGCACTCAATCAGCTTGAATTTCTCTTATGCTTAGGTGACTATTGGGAAAATGGCATTAAAACAAATGCACAGTAAATCCGTGGTTTCTTATTCTAAGTTTTCGTATTTGTCAGTCTGTGTCTTTATTTTTGTTTTTAGTTTCTCACCCTTGCTGCTTTTACACAGCATATGCCATGAGAGTTCCTCTACCGAAAGGTCAAAATGTTTCTTTCGATTATAGCCTCCTCAGCTAGAGATTGAGATGTTGGACTCTGCATTTTTTCCTGACCTGCTTAGCTTTTGATTGCAAGTGTGAGCTTCTCTCAAATGTCAGGCAAAAACAACTGCTGCACCCACGCAGGCTAGTTTCGTGTCTCAGTTTGTCACGTTACACTGGCTGGTGCTTTATCATCAGGTGTAAACAAAGAGGAAGTATTTTAAGTCATTGCATGAATAAAATTCTAGTGTTGCACTCAAATTATGATGCCGTAAGAAAAGGAAAGAGAGAGTACAATAAAGATGCTTAACAACAAAACAATCCTAACAAAATCCAGAGACGGGAGTTTGGCCAGGGCCTGCCACAAGTTTCTGGCCAATGATTACAGAACATTGTTTTTATTTTAATGCTATTCTTGGGAACCCTTGAAGCAAAACAGGGTTGTCATTCTGAGAGAAGTCATTCTCTTTGCCACGTACTCCAAATGCTGATAAGTCTTGCATTTGTTTAACCAGAGTTTGAAGGTGAAGAGGTGCTATCTGTCCCCACAGCTTGCTAAGATTACTTTTCTTGCTCTATAGTGAGGGGAGTTCCTCGAGAATTAACCTTGATTTCTTTTAGCGCGTTTCCCTTTGGGGGCAGGAGGGAGGGACTTGGCCATGCAGTTTCAGACCGAGACTTCAGAACAGGATTTCCTCAGTTTGGCCTCTAAGCTCCTGCTTTGATTTCGAAAGCATTGAACCCCTGGCAGGACTCTCAGTGAGGACTGAGTCAGCTGCAGCTGCCTCTAAAAATCACAGGGTACCTAACTAGGGCTTTGTGAGGCTCTTGATCTTGGACTTGCCAGCCTTCTGGGCACCATCTGTTTGCTTTGGCTCTCGCTCCCTGGTGGAGTGCTGACTCACGACATCCGGCAGTCAGAGGTCATTGCAGATGGGCAGGCAGCCCTGTGCTGAGTAACCTCCAGTGCCTGCAGGCTGAGAAGAGCCATAGGTTATTTCCTGCACGTCCTAAACGTAGGTTTGCAAGAGCTGGGCCAGAGGGTGGACGTGTTTCTCTGGTGACTGAATCCTAATGTTTACTTAACACAACCTCAGCAGAGGTGTGGGCTCCACAGAGAAAAAAGGCTCTGTTTCTGACTGCTCCCCAGTGCTTGGTGTCACCCTGGCTCACTCCTGGCCCTGTTGGCAACTGGATGGGAGGCCACTGTGTGGGTTTATTGGCAGCGCATAGCCTCGGCTCCCCGGGGACCTCCCTTGCAGCCATTGCCAAGCGTTAAGCAGATGCATGGCAGTACTTGTTGCCTAATTCTTTGTCCCTGTTGCAGTGACTCAGCTCAGTGGGAGGAAGGCAGTGGGGTGAACCTGCTGGTGTCTGATGTATGCAAGATGCATTATAGGCAGAAACATTTAATTCTGGCCTGCTGAACAGTTTGGCTTTTTCATTCTGAATACCTAGGAAATTTCCTCTTTAATCCCTATTGAGCATGCCTCTTGCCCACAGTCACTCTGTAGGAAGACTAGCCGTGCCACTGCTTAGCCATATGAATAAAAGTATTTTCCTTTGCCTGCTCTCTCTCAATGCGCTAGGGAAGAATTTGTTGAAGCCTATGTGAATTATATCTTCAACCTCTCCATCCATGAGTGGTACACAGCCTTTTCCACTGGCTTCCTGAAAGTGTGTGGTGGGAAAGTCCTGGAACTCTTCCAGCCCACAGAGCTCAGGGCCATGATAGTTGGAAACAGTAACTACAACTGGGAGGAACTGGAGGAGGTAAACCTTCCCTCTTGCCTTATGTTTCTTCTTTTTCACAAGCAGCAGGATGGGGCAGTTGGGTCAGATGGGCACTAGCCTGGAACATGAGATGAGATAAAGGACAAATGTCTTTTTCTGTATTCCTTGTACGTCCTGCCGTTACTCGCATGGAAGCTCATCTTAGTGGGCTCTCCTGCTACTGATAAAGCTCAGGGAGGGAAGTGGGGACGAGAAAGGACAGGAGAGAAGGATGTCCGTCTGCTCTGTTTAGGGATGAAGCCTAGGACTGAAGGGAAGAGGCAATATTGGGGTCTTCACCCAGAGAAAAACTCACTGCAGTGTGCGAGGGGAAAAAGTAGAGAGCCACGGGCTCAGAGGGGAGCCTGGACATGGAGCAAGAGCTGTATCCTCTCAAAATGCATAGATCAGCAAGTTACTTGCTCCTCTCCAGCCTCAGCAGTGGAATTGGCTTTGCAATGCAGAATACACAATCCTGGCTGCGAGTCCAGCCTGTGAGCAGGCCCCCCAGGATTCCTCGTTACACTTATTAATTAGTCAAATAGTTAGAAGCGTAGCACCTTCCTTTTGCGTATTGCTAGGTGAGCCCTTTCCTGGTTCTTTGAGCTGTGGTGTTGCCCATGACGTGTTCTGTGCTGCATTTCATGCCTGTCAGACGTGCATCTGGCATCAGATACCAGGAGAGATGAGCTCTGGTTTCTGCTTAGTCTCTGCTTTCTAGTGCCAGGTGAAATGATGTGAGTTCTTCATTTTAACAGAGTGCTGTCTATAAAGGAGACTACACTGCAACACACCCAACTGTGAGAATGTTTTGGGAAACCTTTCACGCATTTCCCCTGGACAAGAAGAAGAAATTTCTCTGTAAGTATCTTGTAGTGATGCAAGCTGTCTCCTGAAATGGGAAGATTGGATGCGAGTGTCTGCCCAGCTCCAGGGTCACTGCACTAGTTGCTGGAAGACGATCCAACCTGAACAGCTAGCCCGCGAGATCTACTAGGCAGATATTCTGCTTTCTCCCTCTGTTGGTTTTCTGTTTTGCGTTCATTTTCACCCTCAAAATCCCTGCATTTCTGTCCTGGGAAGCATGTGCTATCACTGAGCAGATCTCTGCAGGGTGCGATCCAGTGCAGTCTCTCTCACAGGGAGCGTGGTCTCTGCACATGGCGCCAGGTGGTGAGTTCGTAACAGCCCCCAGAGCCCTTCTACCATCTGGTTGCCTCTTCTGCAGGCTGAGTTTGCAGGTGTTGCCACGCTCCTACAAGGGGCAACAGGGCAGTTGTGGGGTGAAAAGCGAGTGAAGAAAGACATGTCTCGTGTAGCAGGAAAATGGGGCCGCACCTCAGAGTGAGCGGGTAGCAGATGCTAGCCCTCCTGTTGGTCTCCCTGTGCTAGTACGGTGGGTGCTGTGCTGAGAAGGAGAAGAAACCCTCTGAAAAAATGGCCTTGGGGAGGGCGTGCTCTGTGTTCA